TACAGTCATTTATCAGTTAAAAACCACAACTAATGAAAGCAGTGAAAGTATATGAACCAAATAGCAAATCATAAAATGAAACGTTTTACACAAGAATAAGCTAAATTAACTGAGCAAAGTGAGGAGGGTGTGTTACAAGAGATGATCTACCTACATTCATTAGCGAGAGAGGAAGTGAAGTACTTACTGCTGTATTTCCTTTTTATGATCCAAGTTATGTGTATTTGGAACTCTTCTTGACACAGAAGCATGAAAGCCAATTTCCTTTTTATGAAAAGAGGAGGGAAGATGAGTTCTTTTGATTAAACTAACTATATTACTTATAACATACTTAAATGACACTACTTGTAGAAGAAATGTCAGAAAAGGACACTGCTCCATATTTAATAAATGCCATCTTGTTTATTTTCAGATCCTCAGCAAGAGTATATATCAGATAGTACTCAGTATGTGGACTGTAAAGAACTTGTGTTATCTACACACCAACACGGTCATAATTCAGTAAGTGTTCTGGCTTCCTAAGCAAAAGCAGCTCCCACTGACGGCTAGTATTCTGTTGCTCTCCTCCTCACAGCAGTTTTACACCCTTTCATCCCCACTGGTATAAGTACGATGGATGGAAAACACCACAAAGAAAGTTGAAAGTGTATACAAGCTACCAGGCTAGTAAACCTTGCTAACGTCTCCTTAACATGGCAGTTGAATAGATGCATCTGACGTTGAAAATCAAAGTTACCAGAACCAGTTTAAACATATAAAGCTAACTGCAGGGGAAAGCTATATATATACATATATATATTTGCAAGAATCCAGTTATGACTGACCTTTTCATGTCTTACTGCAGTGCAACCACTCCTCCCCCCCAAATTAATCTCAATAGTTGCATTATGAGGTGATCCTGTGACAAGATATACCTCGAAGAACTGCTCTACCAGTCTGAACAGTCTACTACTTATATGTTGATCACTGCTTCCATGTCAGTTCTGCAGTGCTGAACAAAATACTCTGAGGACATGAAAGGAAAACAGACTCAGCCATTCTCCTGACTACTTTCTGTGTGTGGTTCATCCAACAAATTCTCTACCCTTCTGCTGAAGCAGAGGAAGAAGTTTTATCGACCCCTGGGCTACAATAATAGCAGAACTTATGATCTCTGCTGTTACGGATAAGCCAGGACATGTTTTTCCTTCCATGACTCTTGATTGAAAAGGTTTCTCTCCGAGTAGACATGGGAAAAAAGGCCAGTGTATACAGAGATTTGTAAGGCTCCTGGTATGAGCAGGGCTTAGCTCCCTGCTGCTGCACAACTTCTTTCACAGCCTCTTTCAGAGACAAGAGAAATTAGGTTGGTTTTTTGGTGTTGTTTTTTTTTTTTTTTTTTAAGTATCCACAGTTTACTGAAACAACTGGAAATCAGAGACACATGATTCTACACAGAGCAGACAGAATGGACTTATTAACACTTTTACCAGATACAAATTTAAAAAAAAAAAAAAAAAAAAAAGTGGGTTTGATGGATTTGTTTTTATCTTTTTGTAACTTTTGGGATGTATTTTTAAAGCAATAGACTGGGCAGACTGGGAAGCTATGCACTTCTGTGCAGCACAGCAGCTTCACCACATAGTAAACACCATACATTACCTGTAAAAGTCAGTGAAACCCTCCAAATATCAGCTGCTTTATTTTCTTAATTTTATAGACTTGTAGAATCATAGAGTGGTTTGGGTTGGAAGGGAACCTTAGGACCACCTAGTTCCAATCCCCCTTCCATAGAGACACCTCCTTCTAGATGTTTATAAAAAAATGTTCTAAAACCTACCTCAATTATTTTTATAATATCTCGAGGTCCTGTAATTTCAGGATCAAACTGGATGTGAGCTTTGCAAGTAGCAAGTGCAACTGAGGCGTAGAATATGCCATTTGTTCTCATCAGTTTGGATTCAATATTGTGAACACAGGAAGCACAAGTCATCCCCGTAATCTGAAGTAAACATAGTTTTAGGTACAGTTAGCAATCTCTTTTCACCATTGGTGCTAAGAAGGTCCAGTACGTCAGTCATTTTAGCTTTTGCACTCACAATGCAGGTTTCAGTGTTTAAGGAAGTTTTTTGTTGTTGTCATCACTTTTAATGAACCAAATATTCACCCAATATTTGTTAAAGAATTTGAGATACTGTTACAAACATACCAGTGTCTGTTCAAACTCTGCAGGCAGTGACACAAGGCCTCAGCAGGAAGAGTTTTTAGAGCTGTCTTAAAGGAAACAAATATAACTATCTAATTCTATTATTATAAAATTCTGCAACAAACAGTTACATTCACAACAGCTTATTTGTACAGCAGCGCCAACACATTGCATTTACTGCAAGAGTACAGTTAATATAGCTGCTGATAGAACTATATTAACACTGCCTGAGTCAATATACGTGTGATCATGTTTAACATCATCATCTTAATTCAAATCTCTTGGTGGTTTCAGCACGGCACATTCCCACTTTCTGACCTATTAGCATAACTGCAGATTGTTCTTTTCTGTCTTACTGTATATAAATGTAAGAGAAGAAGAACAGACTTTCAAAGAATCTGTCCTTGGTCTGATCTATTTAATAATATCACCCAACGTTCTCAGACCTCTATACAAAGCCTCTAACCTTCTCATCAGATGCTCGATGATATATATTTCCCATTTCATTTCCCCTTGCTAACAGAAGCCTATTCTATACAACTACAACTACTGCTTTTTGTTTAGGTGTCTTTGACAGGTTCTTCTAAGACAAATTGATTTTCTCTTTCTAGCAATTAAGCAAAATGATCATCACTAGACAGAACTGGTCTGTTGAGGCCGTATCTCCTTAAACAAAAGCACTTGCAAGAAAATGCTTCTTCTGAACCTGACATATCCAAAACCAACACACAATTTGAAATATATGTTACTTACAAGGAGCTCCACATTTCCTTCTGTTTCTGAATGATCTTCTATGACAGAGGCTTCAAAACCCAAATTCTGGATCAACTGTGCTATTTCAAGAGGCTGTATGAAGTCAGGCTTGTATTTTATCTCTGCTTTACCTGCCATCAGTGCTACCAACACCGAAACAATACCTGCAGCAGCAATAATAAAGAATGTTAGATAAAGCAGTTCAGTTTGTGAGGAAGAAAAATAAAATATCACATGTGATTTTCAATGGAAACCTAGCAGCTTCGTGTCATTTTATGTCTAGTGATCTCTCTTCTGCCTCCTCCTAGCATTGTTTGCCAGTCACAGCAGCAAAGTTTTTACTGAGATGCAGCCATACCAAAGTTCCATACAGCAACAAGAGGAGTTGCAACAGTTAGATGGGAAAAAAGGCTATGGTCAGAGACAGAAAGGAAGTTCATGAGCAATTTCTGCCCTGCTCTACCCTGGCCTTAAGTTTGCAAAGCCCTAGCCAAATCCCACTGGATATTGGGCTCTCTCTTTTTTTTTTTTTTTTAATCTAAATTTACAATCAAAAAGCAAAGCATAGAAGTCACAGGAAACAAAGAAAATTGCTAGTAATTTCTTTATTTTTATATCAAAGCAGGGAGATGATGCATTGGGTGACTGCAGGCACAGGAATCAATAAACAATATCCAATTAAGGCATGCTGACATGCATTAAAGCAGGCAATGTTGATGCTTGCCTGTTCACACTCTGTATGGCCAGTCTGCAGACTTCTAACCTGACAAGACTTGCTGTGCCTAAACTAATATAATTACCCAGGCACTGGAGCCACACATTTATTTGTGCATGCTTGTACAAATGTATGCCAGAGAATAAGCTTCATACCACAAATGTCAGAGTTCTCAACAGCTTTGAAAGTGATGGAATGCTCTGTAAAGAAGCAAGGCCCTGAGAACAAAATAAGAACAACTTTTCTGTTCTTGCCTTGAGCCTTATTTCAGAGAGTAATTAAGGTTGGGAAAGACCATTAGGATCATCTAGTTCAACCATCAAATCATCCCCACCATGACCACTGACCATGTCCATGGGCAGCCTCTGCCAGTGCTTCACTGCTCTTTCTGAGACTAGATTTTTCATGATATCTAACCTGAATCTCCCCTGGTGCAACTTAAGGCCATTACCTCTCATCCTAATTTGAAATATTGATCATATTTCAACCACTTACTATTACAAAACAATTATGTCCATTGTATATAGGCTCACTAGACAAACAGTGATGTAGTTACATTAGCTCTATAAAGAAAATATTAAGTCTATTTAACCTCAAGATGTTCTACCACAGCCCCTTTCATTGACCATACAGAATACCCTTTCCAACCAGCAGTCTCTCAGGACTCATTATTGGAACATCAAATTTATTACCTTCTTCTTTCTGCAAATTTCTTTCAATGGTAGACACACACGATGCACAGGTCATGCCAGTGATTTGTAAAAAACATTTCTTGGCTGTAGCTCCACTGGGCTGGTTTGGCTCATCAGGGTGAGGACTGTCTGGAAGTGCATCGGAGACACAACCCTGGGCAGGAGGCTCTGGGACTTGAGGCTGCGCTGCGACATTCCTGACATCAGGCCAATTCTTGTATTCTCCTGCACCAGTATCTTGAATAAATGCACAATAAACTGAACAAATACCAACTACAGGGCAATAGGATGACGTAAAACTACAAGCAGGTTACAGCGATCATGCAAAGTCTCTTATTTGTTTGAAAGGTGATACGATAATCTCGGTTTCTTGGTGGAAGAAAATGATAGATTGTTACTACGTATATAATAATACACACACCACCTGCACTACTTATATGACCACTTAACTTTACACAATTCCTTGTCACTTTCAGACAGCAAGTGACTCCCTCCAATCTCAGTGCCTAGATCAAACAGCCACCTTAATCTGACAGCTACCTCTGCTCAATAAAGATACATTGGTATCTAGAGGGTCTTTATCCAGCACACAGTACAGGCCAGCCTCATATTCATCTTGTCTTTGTTACCTTCTACACAGCTCATAGAGCTTGGTCCCTAAAAGGGAAAGGAAAAGCTTTTCAACGGTTTTCTCTTTATGACGCAATAGTTATTATGCAAGTACTGCAAAATGAGCAGTGGAAGGATTTGCTGCACTCAGACCTCAACTCAGACATCCCACAGTGATCATCTTTGCCCTCTGCCAGATAACAGCATCCAACAAATAACCGTCCTGGCTATAGCAGTGCTCTCAAACTATCTCCCTAAGGCAGAAGAAGGTTTGTGCAAAGGAGCAAGAGTTGCTTTTGAACACGTTAAGTGCGGAGGTTCCTCTCCTTTTCCATAGATAGGAGCTCTCCCACCAACAAGTTATGAAAGAAATGGATCATAATTTAACATCATACATAGACTCCTCATCTGTAGCTGTTCCATAGATTCAGAGGGATTGGATCTGTGAGAAAAACAATTGGGTATTTGGGGTTTAAACCAATGCATTCCAGGTATACCACATCCGTATCTTAAAGGAAATTTGTTCTGAGCTGAAGCAAATAAATACTGCTGCTTTTGAAATTTGCTAGAGAGGAGATTATGCACCATAGCAACTTCTTAAACACTGAGCATGTGTACAAATTCCACAAACTGTGCTGCAGCTAACACGTAAAAGTAGTGCTGGCTCCCAAAGCCTGTGAGCATCTTGGCACTCATCTTGCTGACAGCAAAGCTTAGGTCCCTAGCAAAAATTCTCAAGAAATAAAGATCAAATGATTCAGACACTAAGAAAGGATTTTAGCCAGAAAAAGATTGGTTTTAAATGAAACATCGTTAAGTTTGTATGTTTTTGGAATTTAAATTTGGAATTTAAATTAAAACAGTTAGTTTGACAGATCTCACAGCGTACTGTAGGAGGTTGGAGGAGCCCATAGGATGAAGCCTACTCCAGTGGTAAAGGCATCTGTTCCTTAAAAGACATTGTACCAACTTCCGAGCCTTTTGACATGCTACCCACAGAAGACAAAATACTGTTACCTGTCAGCAAAGATGCATCAAATCCCATTTCTTCTATGGCAGCTCTCAACTCCTCTCCATTCGTGTTTGCTGGATCATAATGTATGGTCCCAGTCTTGTCAGCTAAAGAGACTGCTACATGCTGCACACCTTGTCTCTGAGATATTGTTCCTTCTATGGACTGTACACAGGAATTGCAGGTCATGCCGTCAATCCTAATAACAGCTGTGCACATTGTGTCTTTCAGTGGCTCTCTGAAGAAATCACATACCAAAGCAGGAGATGGAGATGCTTGGTTATTTCCTTCTGAACTATTAGGGAGGCAAACTTTAAAGTTTCCAGGTGGAAGGGATTCAATAGCTTGCTGCAAAGCAGGCAAGGTAATTAAATTCGGGCTATACTGTACAACAGCACATTTATGTTCCAAGGAGACTTCAATACTTTGTATGCCTGGAAGAGAGGATATATTTCCTTCAATGTTTCTGACACAAGATTTGCAGTGCATGCCTTCTATATGTACAGTCACTGTAGCTGTGCTGCTCTTGTTGGCAACCAGCGGATGCAAACCCTCACTCTCGAGAGATGCTGGTGTCTCTTTGGGGTCTGCACTCTGCAGGTTCCTGACATCAAGCACACCAAGCTTCAAAGGTGCTGATTTACTCTTAATGGTGCAGTCGTACCCCAGGTTACTGATATGGCTTCTCAGTTCCTCAGGCTGAATGATATAAGGATGGTAATCAATAACTGCTTCCTGGTTACTGAGTGACACCTTGATTTTTGCCACACCGTGAAGCTTCTTAATCTTTCCTTCAATGCTGGTGACGCTGGACTGGCACGTCATGCCTTCTATCCGAAGCTTTATTACTGCTTCTCTCGAGCACGGCAAATTTACAGACACCGGTGTCAACCTTTCTTCTGCTATGTTAGCATCAAAGCCCATATCCTCTATTTCTTGGCAAATCTGTTCAGGGCTTATTTCTGACTGTAGATATTTTACTAAAGCATTATTCAGTTCAAGGGAGACTTTAATACTCACAACACCCTTAACTTTGGAAATTCGTCCTTCTATCGACTGCACACAAGATTGGCAAGTCATTCCCACAACATTGACTGCAACAGTGCGCTCCTGGGAAGATGGTGAGGGCATGGCTTCAAAGCTCTCCTCGTAGCCCATGTTGTCAAAAGCAAAATTCTGTTTCATTTCAGGTTCCAGTGCACAGCTAGGAGGAGAGTCAGCATTGGACAAAACCTAAAGAGCAAAATAAAAATAAAACGTGTGCATCCTTATTGCTGTAAGCAGCAATATTCCTTTTAAATATTTCGCAGCATTGATTTACATTTGGAGTACATTATCAGTTAGCTAAAGCAAAATGTTCTCAGCAGTCCCAACCTGATTTATGTATAACTGAAGCACTCTCGCCATGCAGCCTGAGCTCTGCTCTTCCTTGCAGACTGCCAGCTGCACAGAGGCTCTCAGGAGGGACCATACTGAACATTCCTCCACAAACATGAGCAGCTAGCTCAGTCTGCCCAACTCACTATGAAAACAAAATAAAAGGTCCACAGAAAACAGATTCAGTAATTCCCCAAGAGCCTGAAGCCAGGCAGGACCAGCTGCATGCTATCTGCAGAGCTGTACACGTGTGCACAAGGGTTTGGATTGTCAGCATCTGTATAGATTTTTGAAGTTTAAATCTACACACAAAGATTTTAAAAAACATACATGTATGCAGATGCTTCTACCATCTTTTAGTTTCATCCACCCCTTTGGGAGGTCCTAATAAAGAGGCACCTGATATTGAGCTACAAGAACCCACAGGTTTGATCCAATAGCAATCTTCAGGATGTGATAACCATTACTGAAGTAGATTAGCCCAAAGTAGGCTATCCATCAATCAGATCGCGGTCTGCAATACTGCAATTCTATGGTTCAGTGCACTCTATTCAATTGAAAAATGAAGCATTAGTGAAAATTACAAAGGCAACAGATCTCGCAGATGAGATAATCAGAGCATAACTCTGCCATCAAAGGACATTGCTGACATCAAGTCATGAGGAAGGCACAGAAGGGGAGGGACAAGTTCAATATTGTTGGGTTTCAAGGAAAAAACATCAGATTTCATTACTGTTACTTTTTCTTCTAAAAATCTAGATGGAAGCTGCTATGACAAATCTACTAACTTGCCTGTAAAGCCATTGGCCCTTTATCCCTTACTGATAGCACCTAATGCTGGGCATTACAGCAGTGAAGGGACAGGAGGAGGAGTCACCAGATCAGGCTCAACAATATTAATCTCATTTCAGCTAAAGAGAAGAAAACTGTCTCCTTGGTACAGCACGGATGAGAATTACTTAGGCTGCTTATTAACACTAGACTGCACCCAGTTCATTTGATGCAGTATTCAAAATCCATTAACTTGATTTTGTTTCATGCTTAGACAGCTTGTGAATAATGATGCCTGGGTCATGACAAAAATGAAAAAAATTAAACACAAAAAATGTGTCTTCTCTGTGCTGTATTTATTAGAATAGGAGACACTTACTTCCTAGGAAAAGCAACTGCTCATAAACAGACAGGAGCCACCATTTCAGTTATATGCAACATTCCTCTGAATCTCACCTTCAGGTGAAGGCAGAAATGGGCTTCCTGAAGTGCCCGTCACCTTCTGTGCTGAAAATCAGTTCCCTGAGTCTTTGCCATGGATAATTATGGAGGACTTTAAATAAAAACTGAAAGCAATTGAGTCTTCAGACTTGACTCCCACGAGTTGTGCAAGTTTGGTTTACAGAACCATATCATGGTGAAGGCTGGCAGGGCCCTCTTGTACGGAGGGCCCACAACTGGACCCTTTACTTCAGGTGTGGCCTCACCAGAGCTGAGCAGAAAAGAAGGATCACCTCTGTTAACCTGCTGGCAGCTCTTTGCCTAGTGCAGCCAACAATACCATTAGCCTTCTTAGCGACAAGAGCATGCTGCTGGCTCACATTCAGCTTGGTGTCCATTAGGACTCCTGGTTTAATGCCACCAGTCCAGTAACAGCCAGCTGCAAAACCACCCTGCTGCAAAACCATTCAACAGTACCTGGGCTCACTGCATGCATGGCATAACCACACAGTGTGTAGGGGCCATGTGAGTTTCACTGAGGCTGTTCCCAGAAGAGCGGGTAATGGGAAGCCACAGCCACCACAATGTCACAGGTGCTCAGACCAGCCTGGAGCTGCAGCAAACACCTTCAGCTCTGCAGCATTACTGCGCAGCTCCTTGCAATCCTGGGGCAAGCCTACCCTCTGTGCCCAGCTCCGTCTCTGCTTGTGACTATGCTGCAGGGATGCTGGGGAAGAGTTACGTGGATTTTATCCCCTATGCCCCATTTGTCCCCCTTACTCTCCCACACCAAGCAGTGTCTGGAATACATTGCCCTCTCTTTGCACTTCCTTCTCAGAAGTTGCTGAAATCCTCAACATAAATCATACAATCCTCAAGGTTGGGAAAGACCTCCAAGATCATCTAGCCCAACCATCACCTACAACCAGTACTTCCCCACTAAACTTAGTACAACATCTAAACAGTTCTTGAACATCTCCAGGAACAGTGACTAAACCGCCTGCCTGGGCAGTCCCTGTCTTCAAAATAAAATATAAGCAGTTAATGGTTCCCATTTAAGTGCACAAAAGGCATGTTTATTTCCTCTTATTTGTGCCTTCCCAGTTTAAAATAATAATATAATAGAATCACAGAATTATAGAATGTCCCAAGTTGGAAGGAACACATAAGGACCATTGAGTCCAACTCCTGGCTCCACACATGTGGGAAAAGGCCCATTTTTAAAGGAAACTCTCTCATACACCTCATTTTAAATGGTGTTTAAGCACTCATTTATTTTAATGTCTGCCCTGAGAAGCTTATTTCAGTATTGTTCCTTGTCTTCTCCTACCTATCTCTCCACCCCCTTAGAACCTAGAAGAGACTTTGGCCATGGTGGGAAGCTCTTATCACAAACACTCAGCAAAGCAGAAGGCCTAACACGCTACAGGAGCTCACTGTGTGCATTTACTTTGGCTCATTTTCTGATGAAACAGCATGAGAGCAGAGTGACATGACACAAGCATCCTTCTTGCTTGCTCCTGTCCACTGTGCTTCTGGCAGCAACTTGTAGACAGGAAACAGGCAATATCACAGGTTTTATGTCCTTCATTGCTTTGCCCATGCTCACTAACCACTTCCATTTTTCCAAGTACCTAGAGACTTAAAAGCAATATATATATGTAAAAAGACTGAAGGGCATTTTCTGCCATCCAGTCTTTTGAAAAACGTAAAAGCAACTACTGATCCTACTGTTTTAATGCACTGTTAGTCACAGAAACACCAAAACTTGACCATCACTTGCCACTTTTCATAAAGAGCTGTCCCAACTTTTTGAAGAATAGGTGAAAACATTTGTTAGCTAAAACTGGTGGTCTGAAGGAAAAAAACAATCAACTCTGTAGCTCTCTGAGCATCTCCCTAACCGAGATCCCCCCATGGCTCCTTCCCAGAGCTGAAGCTACATTCCTGAGACATCCATCTCCCTGTTGCTGCCACACTGCTTCTTCTTTCTCACATCCAGGCTGTACCACCTCATGCTTCGCAAATCCTTGCCACAGTTGCCCCTCCTGTGCCTTGGATACCAATTTTCATATCCTGAAATTAAAGAGCCAGGTTTCTCCTCACAACGCCAGGCTGTCAGCAGGCAGGGGCACAGTGCTTGGCCTATTCATCAAATTCCTTTCTGCCTCTCCCTGTCTGCTTGCCCACAAACACCAGATCTCACTTAGTTTCTCACCTGGTGTATCTGAAGGTTTTGAGCTGCTCTTCTCCCCACACATCCTCAGGCTGAAATCAGCTCTTGCCCTCTTCACTTGAAGCATACAGCTGCCAAAGAAGAATGGCCTCATCTGTGCTGCTTTTTCACCTTTTCTGCTCTCCTCTTTCACAACCTGCTGATTCACAGCATAGGATTCAGGCAGGCAGTAGCACACTACTGGAAAGCCACATGCTTTTTAAATACTTCAGATGCTTTCCCAGTTTGTTAGAGGTTGCCAGTGAACAACAAAATGAGGGCAGAACAGCCTCAGGAACATCAAAGGTCCACAGTCTTTAGTTTCATGCCTACAGGAGCATCATTTCTAGGTGACAGGAAGCAGAAATTCAGTTCCCATCCTTCTTAACAAATCTCAGCACAGCTTGCCCATACATCTTGTTTAACTGGATCAGGCCCTAAAAGCTTGTTCTTCCTTTCCTCTTCCCCTCGTGAAGAAGATGAACATGTCAGTAGTCACCTATGTTAGTATCTACTTCTAACATGGCTTTGTATTCACCAAATAATTCTTGAATGCTAAAAGAGGGGGAAAAACACCCTCCCCAGGAGGAAATTGTGAAACGATGAAAATATTATTTCAAAGTCACATGTTCCATTTGGGAGCAGGATTCTCTATCAGACAGAAGATGAAGAAATGTTTACACACTTGTTGTGAAATGATACCATATCCACACACTATATTTGATAAACTTTAGAGACCCAAAGGGGTGCTTTTCAGTTAAAGTGAGCTGTATAAATCATACTTGGTTTAGTGGGAAAAAGAAAAACCTTTTTGCAAATTGATGGTTTCTAACTTAGAATTAAAACAAAGCAAAACACTTCTTGACATTCATAGCTGCAATGGGAGCAACACAATATACTGTAATGAATTGAATACAGGAGAGAGATCCCTTGGCAGAATTAAGTTATGTTATGACTGTTTTACAGCAAGCATTTACAAAGTGAGAAGTAACTAGAGACATACAAAGTGAGAAGTAACTAGAGACAGACAAAGCCTTCAGGTACAGCCAGTCTGTCTTTATTGTTGTTTCTTTCCAGTCTGACTCTAATCATTTAAGCCATTCTAAGTATGCATTGTTTCAAAAATCACAGTATTTGTTCTTAGAGTTTGTTCTCCTTAAACATACAATTAATCCAAATTACTGCAATTTGTAATATTAACTTTCAAAAAGCAAAATCTTTTTTTTTTTTTTTTTTATAATAGGCCTCATAATGTCTTAATCAGCATCAAAGTTCATGGAGAAGAGGTCTAGAAAGATCAATCTCTAAAACTATAACTCTGAATTAAAAACTAAATAAAACATTGCCACAGATACATTTCCATGAAGTTTTGTTAATGTCCACTCAGTAGTTATAAATAAATGACTTACCTAAAATTATGATGTTTTAATGTTTCTGCAATTTCTGTGATTCCAGAAAATAACCCAGCACAAGCACTCGAGCAATTCAAGCATTCAAGCAATCACAGTTCAAAAGGAGAAGCACTCGTTTGGTTCCCTACTAAGAATCACCACTCTACACTATTAAGTGGAGTCGAAAGAAAATGCTCATTAGCAAATGATATAGCATATCTCATTACCATTTGCTCTCAAAGATTAATTTCATAGACCTCAAAAGGCCGTGGCAGTGTACTACTTGTTAGAGGGCATGGAGTCGTGCTGAGGATTGAAGCGATTCATATACAGAAGGTTTAGCACATCAATACACAATCCATGTCCAGCACATTTAGCTTTAAATTCTCCATTTCCCTCCCAACACATGCAGCAGCTCACCGACCTGCTTTCCAGTTGTATTGACTTCTGGCATTCCCATGGAGTTACGCTGCAAAACTTTCTCTTCTTTCTGCAAGTTACTGCTTGCTTCTAGCGGAGACTCCACTTTGGACCCTTCACCAATAATCAGTAGTTCAGGCACATCGTGAGCTGCCTGCCGCTTTCGAATGGACACCAGGGTTATGTTTTTGTTGTTTAAAGTAGCTAAGCAGGACAGCTCCCTTCGCATTTTATTGTCCAATTTTCTCTCCATTATCTTTGCCGGCTTTAAATATCACAACGCCAAAGAAAAGCTTTACGAGAGAAGCTATTCAGTGCCTTCCTTATCAGCAGCTCTTTTTTCAACTACTTTTACAATGGCCTGGGGAGTTCTCATCAATGTGCTCATTAGGCATGCATAATGAAATCCTAGATGTAACCTGTGATCTTTGTGTACGCTGCTCGCTGCACTCAGCTACCTCCTCTCCCTGCCAGTTTCAATGCTTCCCACCAATTGGCATCCCTTGTGCTTACCAAACTGCATTCAGTGCTGCTAATCTTTGCACACGGCATTGTGGCCAGCTCAGCCTTTCACAAGCTACTCAAACATGACCTGTGTGCAGCAAGCCGGTGCATAATTAACTCAGTCAGGCATACCCACAGTTCCTACAAAGGGCAATGTTGCTTTTCCCCTTCCTTTTTCCAAGGAGTTCTTGGGTAAAATATGGTGCCCGCTCACATTTTAACCCTGCTCGTGATTATATCGTTCAGTAAGATCCCTAGACTGAAGGTCTTTCATTCATTTGGAACAGTCCTTCATTTCAGAAAAGAAAAAAAGAAAAGACTGAGTACAATACTTTCACTTTTTAAATTGTACCTCCTTGCCATCACCAAGCTTAACTACTAAATAAATAAACAAACAAACAGAAAGCTACATCAGCAATTAGTGCCAGGAGAAAAAAAAAAGGGTTATTTCCTTGGGCAAACCCAGTTCCCCTCGGTTCCTCTCATCAGCTACAGGAACATCTAACTTAGCTATATACAACAGGTACCATTGGAAGCATCCACAGCCAAGCTGGGTATATTTTCCTGAGAGTGCCTGCAGCAAACTGAGAACATTCACAGCACTGTTCTAATATGGTGAGTGGGACCTCAAGTTCCCTGAGCCTTCAGCAGAGCCATCCATTTCTAAAGATGCCCCTAAACAGGTCCCTAAAGACTGGCCACGAATTTATACACGTAAATCCAAAGGGAATTTATACACTATGGTCAATCTACCGTCAATTCACACCCTATCGGAATAAGCAGTGACCACACTGCACAGGCAAACCTTAAAATAATTCCTTTATATTTAATCAAAAGCTCTTGGATTTGGAAAACATCATCAAATTTACTCCCATGCAGAGATGATGGATCAACATCTCAGGAAACCTGAGGGAACACACATGGTGCTCCAGCTGGCTGGCAGGACAGGTCAGATTCTTTCCACTTTTTTACCTTCACATCCCTCACCTCTCTGACACAATTACTGATTTGAACCGGTTTTGAAACAAGAAATGGAAAGTCAAGTTGTTGGATTTATGTGAAAATATTTTGTTGCAATGTCTTTAAATACTAGAGCCATGTCTCCATACTACAGATACAAATGCAAGTTGAAAATCTGTTTTTCTTCTTTCTAAAACAAATCAATTCTTTGATCCCAAATCAAAGACGCTCAGAAATTCAGCTCTGAGCAATAATTTTACACAATGGAAATTTCAAGTTCTAGAATGTCTTAGGGAACAGAAATCCCAGTTCTCAGACAGCTGTATGTGAGTACTTCATCATTCACCTTCGATAGTATCTATTATTCAGAATATCCCAGACCCTACCTAGCTTGTTTCTACAAGTAACTGGTACTGATGAGATATCATGCAATGAAGCATACTGTAGAAACATGGTGTTGTTTGGTGTTTTTTTCTCCTCCTTTCAGGTCCACCCCGTCAAAGCTCAGCTTTGGCTGAAGGAATAGATATTTATTCAGTACCTTCTCCCCAGTTCCTCTCACCCATACCTTTCCCCCCCAGATTCTGAGCAATTCTGAAGTAAACATCTGTTTGTTTCTAGAAGCAGCACAGACAAGTTGTTACTGAGTGCCTCCACAGTCCTTTGGCTTCAGCACAGTGCTGAATGCTGACGCAGAAGTAGAGACTGAGGACTGTGTTTTGAAAGTAGATAGAAGTTTTCTATCACTCTTCATGTGAAAAGGGCATAAGATATACTTCAACAAGTCTAATGCAATAGGATGTCAAACACCTATTTAGCTGAGGACTCAAGCAGAGATAGACAGTAGTGGAGAAAGAAATCTGTGGAGTTGAGTTACCAGCACCAGCTCTTGGATAAGCAATGCCATTCCCAAAGCAGAAACATCCAAGAATCTTGTAAAATAAATAAATAAATATTTCAATTTACCTTAACAGAGGTCCTGCTTGATCCCAATCCCTCTACAGTTTTACTGTGGGCCAGGAGGGAGGTTGAGAAGGCACTGCTGCCTGTCTCACCTTCCAACAGCAGCATGCCCTGCTTCCAGGCTGGGTTTTGTACAGCTGGGCAGCTTTACCAGGAAGCATCACTCAGGTGTGGTAGTGTGGGATTTAGATGGCAGGTACAAAATACCTCTGCTGCTTTCACAGCTCTTTGCTAATGCTGGGAGAGATGGTTTTGTTTATGTGACAGAAAATGCAAAGCATTCAAAGGAAACTAAATCCCTTTACCTTAAAGCTTCAAGAGTTCATAAAAATATAAACTTTCCTCTTTATATAACCTGCAACTATCAGAGAATGTGTTAAACAGATAAAAACTACAAGTCTACATGCAAATGCTGCTTCCTGTGTGAATTCATGCTTAGCTTTATGGGATGATTTGTCCTGTGCCTAATCCCTCTGGCTCCTTGCGGTAGGAAAGCATCTTATTCTTAACAGTGCCAGCAAGATGAGAAGCTTGGGTTCAAAGAAAGAATCGGTGGCCTGGAGGCAAGGGAGTCACATTGCCTTAATCTGCCCAACAGACGAGAGGAACTGGTTGGAACACCTTCACATCACGTCAGCACAGGAGTGCACTTCAGTTTTTACACACTATGGAAATCACTATAAAAACCATTTGAATGTAAAGTCAATAGTTTTTCTACTTTCCTCTAGAGATATCATTTCAAACCACCATAACAAAATGCACCCAAACAGTGACATCAGGCTAAAAACAAAACAACTTCACATCTCACTGTATTTTGGGTTCTTTTCAAACTGTCTCCATGATGCAGCCAGCTAAAATTATTGAAAATTTCCTCCCATCCAAGCAGAGCTAGAATGCTTTGGGTTTGACTGCAGGAATTGGAGCTTTAAGGAAAAGGAAAAGAAAATCGATTACTGCAAAGCTTGTAGTAACATCACGAACAACAATCACGTTCAGTCATACTAAACAACAGCTGGAAGCTTGGTCACATTCCTGGTACTAACCACGTCCTTGTGTTCTCCAAACTAACTTCCAGACTTACTATAGGAGAAAAAAAAGACCTTTGTATCACTTAGGTGGGAACAAACTGGTCCATTTTCCCTCTTTACCAGCATTTGCTCTCAGTTTTGTGCCATGAAATCAGATGGATGCCTCCTTGGGTACAATGTTGTAAGCAAGCTGGCAGCCAGCAGGTCCCCAAGTGTTTCTGTAGCCTGAACAGTACACATATCCCTCAGCAGACAAGGAAGTGTGATCGTATGTAATAGCATTTCTTACGCTGTGAGAAATAAAATGAAGCATTACAGAACTCTGAAACGCAAGGAATCAAATCCATACCTGCCACGAATAAAATTGCTTAAGAGTTGACGACCTCATTTCAAATCAGTTCAGACTTTGGCTCCAGTTTTTCAGGTAGCAGCTTCAATCTTCTCTAAATATTTAAAAACAGTTTGTTTGCTCTAAACCAGCAGAAGTCAGCGGAGAATCTCGTCGGTAACAGGGCTCAGAAATGCAGACTCATTTTTTGATTCCGTGGCTTCTTCACAATTGCAAATTGTGTGGACTTGGTACTCTGCCTGCTTTTAGCAGTGTTGATTTCAGTACAATAATTTCTGTTATCTCTATTTATACTGCAGGAATTTGTTTTTAAGAACCTAGAAACTACCAAGCTGATCATATTACCCCCGGAAAAGACACACCTTTGGGGGCAGAGGTTAAGTGCAAAGAACAATCACAATCTGCATAGGCTAATTCAAGTCCAGATCTGCAGTAACATTCATCCAGGTGCGTGGCAGAAATTGTCAGGCAGCGCCGCTTTGCAACCAGGATTTTCACCTTTTTTGAATGGAGAATCCCTGAACTGCCTATTAAGTAAATGGGAAGACTGACTTTGTTTCACTGTTTTTAAAGTAAGCTGTTGTTTACCTTGTTGCAGGCAAACTAATGGTAGGCTCTAAGATGCCCTGCCAAACCTGCAATTAAATTTTTCCTTAAGCAGAGTAGGAACGTAAGCATATGTCTTCAGTGCCGCCCAACTATTCATATTCTATGAATCTGTCTCAGCCCACACTTTGGAATTACTATTAGTTCCCTTCCAGCACTTGCCTCGTCATTTTTGTGGTCATGTTTGATGGCCTCAGAGAGAGATTTCATTTGCATGAGTCACCTGACACTATGTAAATAACACAAAGCACATCAGAGTGAAAGAAGGAAGGAAGGAAAGAAGGGAAGAGAGAAAATTAAAGAAAAGGAAAAGAAATAAAGAAAGAAGAGAAAAGAAAGGAAGAATGTAACTTGGATTTAAGCCTGTATTTCTGGTCCTACAGCCAGTATTTACTCCCAAGTCAAACTGCTTGGCCTTTATATAGGAGCTTATTTCATCCCATCCCGTTTCTATTCAGCATAATCACCTTCACTTCAAGACAAAGATAAACAGCATCTGGTGTTTGCATTATAAACACCATATATAAAATACAAATGCATTGCCTCTGTTAGGACAGCCTGGATAGGTAAGGCAAATCCAAATTCACTTTCTCTTAACTATTGTTTCTGCCTGTCTTATACTTGCAGCTGTTGAGAACTTCTTTGCAGAAAGAGGTATTTCCAGCAATTCCCAGCTGTAAGAAAGCTTGATACCATCTCTTCTCAGCCCAGCACTCAGGTTCCTCACACACCCAGACCTCTGTGAAGAGCTCTAACAGCTTTCCCAGTGTTCCAGACAAAACTCAGCCTACTGAGCAGGCTTACGGCTTTTTCCATCACCTGTGGGGTACTTTACTTCTTCCCCACTCCCTCTGGACTGGTTTCATTACTGGGTAGAAAAACATGAAGGTGTTTAGTCCCTCCCTGTGGCCTTATCCTTGCAGCGAGGGCAGAGCCTAGGTGATCCTGGACATGGCTGCAAGAGCACTTTGTGAGCCCAGAGCACAGTCACAGCACAGCCCTGCTGGCATAGGTGTGGGGAGCTCCCACACTCCAGCTCTCAGAAAGGCTTTTCTTCCTGATTCTGAGGTCAGAAATGTGACAGCTCTTTGGCTGGTTCCTTTTGCCATGGCAGGCAACAAGTGAAGAAGGTAACCTCTGATGAGGACAACGTGGGTGCACAGGGTTAGGAACATTGCAGTTCCCAGTAGTCAGAGGTCCAAACTGTAGCACACGAGTTGCTGTTTAGCTAACTTATTTACAGTACATCTGTACAAAAACTCTGTTAATTATTTGCTCTTCAGGTCTAGGAACAGCACTGCACTGTCCAGGTGTAATATTGGGCACGAACTGTCAGCTCTCAGTCAAGAACCACAGGCAGAGAGCTTCCAGCTTTGTGTCAAGGAACAGAGTGTACTTCAGAGTGACCAGGAAAATACACATCGCTTTCCTGGATAGAGCAAAATTTATTCACTGCAGAGACTTCTTGAAACTGAGCAGAGAAGAACAAAACAAAAAGATTAACTTGCTGTTATTTTGTTTCTGATGGAATATCTGATAATGATTCCATACTACATCACGTAACAAATATGACAAACAGTGAAGAGAATTCAGGTGGAAACGTCAGAGATAAAATGACACAGATTAACATAAAACAACAAGGCAACCACTGCTAATTTTAAGCAATCCCTTCAGCACAAAGATATACTTCAAAAAACATCTAAAGGAAATAGCAACAGAAATGGCTGTAGAAATTTCCATCAGAAATATTGAACACCTGGACTGAAGAAAGCAGTTGCAATTCTGCTTTGAAATGCATGCAGCATCCCTCACATTGCTTTCTGTGGTATACAAACTGGCTCATCAAAACTGAAACAGAGTGCAAAGGCAGTGTTCATTTACTGCAGGAAGACCTGCCACTTAGGAGCAGTTCTGTGCTACAGAAAATGGATGTTTCTTCCAAGGACACTTGTAAACAAAACTGATGCACACTTCTGCTTGGTGGAAGGAAAGGTGGTGACTCAGGGACCGACTTTTAAGTAGCCTTAGTTCAGCCCTTAATGGAGAATCTTTGAGTCTATGCCATGGGAAAACTGCCGACCTTTCAAGCTTCCTTTCTCCCCAGAGTGGAAGGTCAGAGGAGGTGGCAAGGCACAGTGCCTGCATCTCTCGTGTCTGGACTAGCCAGCCTCCTGCAGCAATAGTAACTCTCTTCTCTACTGCTTTGCAGACAGATTCTGGCTTTTTTCTCTTTCCTGATCAGTGCCAACAAGCCAGGCGTGAGCACAGAATGCAAATCCTGCCTTGACCTGGATTCACAGGAAACAGTTTGGGTTCCTATCCAAACAACACTGCCCTTGCCTCCTGAAACTGGCAAAGGGACACGCATACAAATACAGTGCACAAACACGTCCTGAACAAGTTAGTGCAGGCTTTTCTTTTTCAATCTGTGAATCCTTTTAGGTCTGACAATAGGGGTGCCTATTTCTGGAAGAAAAAAAATAGACTCAGCAAAGTTTTGCATTTTCCTGAGCAGTTTCGTAATCATTTTAAACAGGTGTTAGGGCACTACTGTGATAGAGATGGTCCTTCACCATCTCTTTCATGTTCTGATTAGGTGCATAAAGCCATACAGGCATTAGGATCTGCATAAAGGAGAAGGAAAAGAAAAAGGAGTTCAAGTCTGCTATTGCTGACTCAGAAATGGTGCACATTCCCTCAAGAGCCACAAACTTCCAGCTGAAAAGCTGGGACTTGAAGTGAGTCTCCATGTTATTTTGCAAAGTTAGTAACATTACCAGGAGGGCTACAACACTGACATACCCATTGCTGCCTGTGCTCCGAGCCTCTTGAATACATTTCTTTCACCTGCCCTGAAGATGTCAGCCACCTCTCCTCCTGTGGATTGTTTAGGAGAATTGATAGAGAGTCCATGGGAAGTTACAATTCCAGTGGAACTGATTCATTTTCCTATGTAGCCATTGTCCAACAGGAACAACTCACATAAAATAATCTCCTGTTAATAAAAAACCATGTGTTCCACTGGGGTAAGCTGCCTGTGATAAGACAAACATATGTTATATGAACTCTTGCAAAAATTCAGTGTGGATCCAAACTACTTAATACTGAATTGCTTCTGCAATAGTACATTGCTTCTGTTAAAAAAAAAGAAAAAAGAAAAGAAAAAAAAAAGCCAGGTTTTGCTTACAGGTACATAATGCAAACATCCACGTGCTGGAACATCAGGCTAAAAAGTAAAGCTGACAGTTATAAATATATACATTTAGAATTGCTTGGGTTTAACACATAGTATAACACATCAGCAAAAACAACCCTGTAGTGTTTTGTTGTAGATACGTGTTGCAATTTATTTCTAATACTTGTTTTTTGCTTCACAGATCTTTAGAACACACCTGGTCCAACTTTATTTCTGCCTCCTGCTGCTATGTAAATAAGAACAAATGTACTACAACGTATAACAGCCTAACACAAGAAATGTGCAAAAGGGAGAATGTACATGAATGATCTAAGATTCCTTCTGCTAAAAATGGTCCCAGGCATTTTGCCAGCTAAGGCAGCCACTATGGATGAGAAACTCAGTACTACACAGTGTGTGTTCCAGAAAGCAAGCAGCCGACTGTATAAGAAAGCATGAAGGACCACATGACTGTCATACAAATATCCTTACACAGTATTAATCCAGTTTCTTTTCGTTTGTTACCTGGCAGTAGTCTTATTTTACCAACTTTCTTGTATGTGGAGTCCTCAGCAAGAAAGAGAGAAAAATGTACTTAAAAACTGTCCCAAATGCCTTGCACACCTGAGGACAACACATTGTGAGTGGATTCTGTCATTTGTTTTGAGTACTTGTTTGCACAGATCTTCCTTCAGAGTGAGGACCTTAATAAGGAAAGCAATTAAAAGGGGACAGAAGTGCTTGCAGAGGCAGCAAAAGATGAAAAACTTGGCACATCTCTGTGAGGAGGAGAACAAAGCCAACTTCATGACATGGCTCATTTAATTTCTTTGGCATGTTGGCCATGTGAATTTCTCCAGTCAGGACTTTTAATAGCATTCTCACCAAAGGAGTAGGAACACTGCAGAGAGCTCAGCACTGCTTTGCTGATGTTACTGGCAATATTTTAAAAGCATGCATACAGTATCTTCTGCTGCATATGCATGAGAGTTGTGAAGTGATGACATTCCAGTTAGGCTGTGCTGGACATTCACACATTAAAGGTATCCTCTGCAGTATGTAAGGCTGTCAACAACAGTTTTCACACTGCTCACATCAAAAGCAGAATACTCTATGACTAAAAAAAAAAAAAAAAAAAGCTAACAAAACCACTTTGAATGCATTAATACATCTTTTTTTAATTACTACTGAACAAACTACAGAAAAAGTAAAACTAAGTTGGTCAACAGACCGGACAGCCTCCCCTTGTGAGTAGAGGCTGAGAGAGCTGAGGCTGCTCAGCTGGAGGAGGCTCCAGGGGATCTCATTAATGTCTGTAAATCCCCGAGGGAAGGTGCCAAGAAGTTGGAGCCAGGCTCTGTCAGTGGTGCCCGGTGCCAGGACTAGAAGCCATGGACACAAATTGGGCCACAGGAGGTTCCCTGTGAACAACAGAAGCACTTCTGTGCTGTGTGGATGATGGAGTACTGGCACAGGAAACAAAGCATTCCAAAAGCTTATAAAATACAGAGGAAGAACTGCAAAAGAAACAGAGGCTACTGCATTGTCAAGCAAAACACCTTCCAGCTGCAAATTCAAGTCTGATATAGTTGTGCCAGGGCTGGCAGAGATTTCAAAATTGTTACTTGAATTTGACAGTTTGCATCTGTAGCAACTTAGTTTCTATGAAGAAAAACACATCTGAACCAGCAAAGTAGAGGTTACAAGCAGATCCCAGGCAGAAACAACACAGCTGTTCTTCACAGCCCTTCGCACATAGTCTGTGTATTTTGAAGAACTGTTTCCCTGCTTAGCATTGGTAAGGATCTGGAAAAGTTGTACCAGAATGTCTTTTCTCTTATGCAGATGTTCTAATACCATCTGGCTATATATATATATATATAGAGAGAGAGAGAGAGAGAGAGAGA